ATTACATTCAATAATGTGAAATGCCTAAATAATACTAAATGTCTGATGAACCTCTATAGTTTTCGTAAAGAAAAGGTTATTGGACCTTTTTAAAATTGATTTTAAGTTGCTAGATCTTTGAAGGTAACTTAAGCAAATAGTAAGCACGTGATAGCTTTTTTTCTTTCAAATAACTAATCTTTTTGAAAGGGTTGGAAGAGGAGGGAAGAGAAGTAACATTTATTGAATGTCAGTGACATGCCAAGAGCCACTATGTGTAGTGTTTGAAATTGTTTTGTACCTGTTCCTCCCTACACCCATATAAGATGTATTATCCCCATCTTGCAGTTGAAAACATTGTACTTGTATATTTGTGCTCACACATTTTACAGAGTGTTTCTAGTGGAATGCTGTATTATTTGACCCTAATCTGTTTCTAACTCATGTGTGGCTTTTCCTCATGGGAGAGACTGTATAGTTCAAAATAAGCATATACATGTTTCATATAAATGCCCCACAAATACATTGTGTGAACTTGAGTAGTTGTTCACGTTTTAAGCATTGAACAGGTGTTATTTTGAAATTAATCAAGAGTTTAAGTGCTAATAAAACTGAGCTTAGAAATATTAATTTGAATGAATCAGTTATTCTTTTACTAAATTAGCGATAAGACCAAAACCTTTTAAGTATGCACTTAGCAATAGTAATTTAAACAAAACAAGCAGTCATTTTATTATTTTACCAAATTAGCAATATGACCAAAAAGTTTTAAGTATGTTGGTTTTTCGTAAATAATTTTTAAAAACCCTGTAGCATAAAGCTCCAGTTTTATACAGGTTTATCCTCCATGCTGTGACTACAGTTTTTATTATTTTTTGAAACCCTGATTTGACCATGATCTGGCTAAAGTACTTTCAAGTCTCCCTGTTGCTTAGAGGTTCAAGTTCAGATACTCTAATTTGGCTTCAACCGCTTGGAAATTTTGTAAAATTTTGTTTCATGTTGGTAAGAAAACTTGACATGAGATTTCTGCTCTTAAAAAAATTTTTAAGTGTACAATACAGTGTTGTTTACTATAGGTACAATGTTGTAGAGCAGTTCTCTAGAAATTATTCATCTTTTATGACTGATACTTTATGCCAGTTGATTTTCAACTCCCTATTCCACTCTCCCCCAAACTCATGGGAACCACCATTTCACTTTCTGATTCTGTAAATTTGCCATTTTAGATACTTCATATAGGTGGAATCATGCAGCATTTGTCCTTCTGTGACTAGCTTTATGTTTGCTGCAGCAGTGTTCACCATGGGTCAGATGTGAAACAACCTTAAATATCCATTGACAGAAGAATGGATGGAGACATGTGGTATATCCATATAAGGGAATATTACTTGGTTATATATAAAAAAAAGTAATGAAGTACTGATCCATGCTATAACATGGATAAGCCTTGAAAACTTTATGCTAAGTGAAGTAGGCCAATCTGAAGACTTTTTTTTTTTTTAAAAAAAGCATCACTGTTTGGTTCTCCCTTCCTTTAACTTTGCCAGGAATGATCCCTTCCACTTTCCTTTTTCTGTCTTCTGTACTCCTCAGGGTTGTTAGAGACCCTGAAAGACCCAGCTAATTTCTCGTTCTTTGGAGCTTTCCATGACTCCCTGTACAGAGGGAGTATTTTTCAATTGTGTTTCTGTGACAGTTTTAAATAAACTTATTATTTTAATCTCTTTAAATTCTTGCCCTAAAGACTCTGAACTCTAACAGGCTAGGGATCGATATAAGGCAATCTCTTACTACCTAGCACAGTTTGTTTCTCTCCCTTCCTTTCCCCCTTCCCCGTTTTCCCTTTCTCTTTTTCTTTTCTTCAGCAAATATTTATAGAGAATCTATTACATGCCTTCTGTATCCTGGAAATTCTGTTTATTGAATGGGTGGGAAGAAATATGAAATCTTGGTTAAAGAAACATTGTTTACTATATTATTAGTTTGCTATTTTAGTTATTCTAAGCATGAAGATAATAGGCCGTTGCCATTTAACATTAGAACAGCTTATGAATTTCACAAACTTATGGTTGGATGAAAGTATTGAGGAAAAACACAAATGATAGTCATTTTGGCTTTATGTCATTTGGACTCAAATCATGTTCAGTATTGAAATCCATTCTTGGCTTTGCTTTAATACCAGAGACTTGACTTCTGACATTGTTGATCACAGCCATGGAAATAACCATGTGCATAACTGCCTACCCCAAGTAGCAGTTATTTTGGGCCAAATGGAGGCGATTAATTTTGTTATTGTTCACCATTGAAGTTGGCATCTGGTGAAAATAGGCATATGTTTGGGGTAGTGTTAGATGGAAATATAAGCCTTCTAAAATACCGTTCTGAAGGATAATAAGAACAGACAGTGTTCATAGGGCAAGTTTCCTTGCTAACAACAGAACTGAATCCTATGAGGTAGATCATGATAGTCTCATTGATAGATGAAGAAACAAAGGCTCAGAGAAGTCAAATGACTTGGCAAGTTATTTAATCTTTCTTAACCTATTTGCTCACGTAGATAATACTGCCTGCCTCCCAGGATTATAATGAGGAATAAATAAGATGATGTATGTGAAAATACAGTGTGAAGGATAAAACCCTATACTAATATTTGGTGGCATTGTTATTAATGCTGTCATTATTACACATAAGAACATTAATCTTTAACATCCTAATCTGCTTCCTGAGTGTTTATTTGCTATTATTCTTTTAACTAAGATGCTTATCAGCTTTTAAAGTACCATAAGGACTGCATTTCACTAAAAAGGAAAGTTATTTCTTTAAGTGTAGCAAAAAGTTCAGATGGTCTTAAAATTTGAGTTAGAGTTTTAACTTAAAAACTACATTTAGCTGGGCGCCGTGGCTCAAGCCTGTAATCCCAGCACTTTGGGAGGCCGAGGCGGGTGGATCACGAGGTCAAGAGATCGAGACCATCCTGGTCAACATGGTGAAACCCCGTCTCTACTAAAAATACAAAAAATTAGCGGGGCATGGTGGCGTGTGCCTGTAATCCCAGCAACTCAGGAGTCTGAGGCAGGAGAATTGCCTGAACCCAGGAGGCGGAGGTTGTGATGAGCTGAGATCGCACCATTGCACTCCAGCCTGGGTAACAAGAGCGAAACTCCGTCTCAAAACAAACAAAACAAACAAACAAACAAACAAACAAAACTACATTTAACAATTTAAAACTTTCTCCTATTTCCCTCTAAACAAAATGGTTTACTTGAATTATATCTAAAGTTAAGATTGGAACTTTATGATGGCTCATTTTCAATGATTGATATTTAATGGTTATTTTCAGTACATTTGTTAGAACTACTTTTTTTTGAACCAAGCATTATATACCCACAAAGTGTTCAACACTGGAAAACTAGTTCCTCTGTGAAGGCAGGCTAGAGCTTGTGTTTAGTATGGTTTTTAGCTGGAGATTGACTATATTAATTGTTTCTATGTGCATATTGCTTTTTATATACAGAAGATGATGTTCCTTTTTCTTGAAATCCTTGATGCATAGTATGTAGCTTAAACCCTTGCCAACAGACTGGTGCTGTTTTATTCCACTAGGTAAAAACGTGAGAGGATCGGGCTGTTTCATCGTGGTGATGGAGTCAGTAGTAGCACTATAGAATTGCACGAAACTTTTAAAGCATGCTTTATTTTTATAACTAATATAAACAATACTAGCTTCTGTCAACATGGTAGATCATATTTCAAAAAGTTATGGAAGAGGAAGAGTCTGGAACTTCCAGGGTATATTAACTGTCAAATATTAACGGAAAATTTGATTTTGTAAAATCATAAAAGCATTATTATCTTTGGCCATTTTAAATTTTTTTGTTGATACTGGTAGTAATATATATATATCCTTTTATGATAATCAGCTTTATGGTATGATTAAGTTTGATTCCAAAGCAGTAATTTTTTTTTTTTTTTTGAGACGGAGTTTCGCCCTTGTTACCCAGGCTGGAGTGCAATGGCGCGATCTTAGCTCACGGCAACCTCCGTCTCCTGGGTTCAGGCAATTCTCCTGCCTCAGCCTCCTGAGTAGCTGGGATTACAGGCACGCGCCACCATGCCCAGCTAATTTTTTGTATTTTTAGTAGAGACGGGGTTTCACCATGTTGACCAGGATGGTCTCGATCTCTTGACCTCGTGATCCACCCGCCTCGGCCTCCCAAAGTGCTGGGATTACAGGCGTGAACCATCGCGCCCGGCCTAATGTTTTGTTTTCATACTGCTCTATTAGTCAAAAAGCAAAATAAGGTATCTGGTAAGTGGCCCCTTTCTAAACCAGCTGACATATTTCTTAAGATAAAAAAAAGTATGACTCCTGAGTGACATTGTGGCTTTGGAGTTAAATCTGGGTTTAAATTTCAACTCTAGAACATCTTTTTTATTTTTTTTTAAGCATTGGACAGAAAGTTAAGATATTTGTGTCTTTTTTCTTTTCTAAAATGCATATGAATTTAAAAGGTTCTCTAAAATGCATATGCAGATGATTATCAGTGCAGTTGGGAGACTCAGATGAGCTAGTGTGTGAACATCGTTATTAACTGGACAATATATAATATAATTGCTCATTGATAGTAATTTACATACAAAAAGAATATAAGTATTTTTAAAAGTTATTTTTCCTTTTTTCCTCTTGCCAAATTAAGTAGAACTGCTTTTTAAAAAGATAACTTCCCATAATAGAATTTTCAGTATGAATAGTGTATGTTTAAGAAACATCTTACAGTATAGTTAATATAAACTTTGTAATTCTGAATACAAGCAAGGATAGGTCTCTTTGGTAAAATTATTCTGTACAGCAATGACATGAATTGAACATTTTATGTAAAATGTGTATATTTCTACATTCTAAATGATACAGATGTGTGTTTTTGTAGGTTTGCCTGAATCCATCATTGCAGCTGCCTGTTCAAGAAGTGGCCAGAGAGTTCTGCATGTTGATTCGTAAGTTTATCAACGATAGCATTTAATACTTCCTAAATATCTCTATGCAAGATAAAAATTTACATAAACACACGTACATCTGTACATTTGTACATGTATGTGTATATCATATATAGACCTAAGTTAGAAAAGAATTGGAATTGTTTAATTTTAACCACTAATATATGAAATATATAGCATACAAGTTTTACTATTCTGTGAAATAGTATGTTTCCTTTGAGAATAAACCAAATGCATCATTTTATTTTTCTCATGAGTCATTTTGTTTAAAATAGCAAGGAATTCTCCAAGAGGCTTGGCAACCTCATGCCTGCCCCATTTCTTAACATATGTGTTTGGGTATATACAGCCTATATATGCTGTTGTATTTTAGGCTTCATTTTCGATGGTTGTGAAAATCAGCCAATAGATTTTGGATATTGTTTTCTTAAACTTCATTAAAATTTAAACTTAGAAAATCTTAACTGGGAAAAATATCTACAATTATGTTTTTTCCTTTTTTCCTTAAATGTGGTGATTAAAAAGGAGGCTGATGGAAAACTCAAGTTTAAGATAAAGCATAGATTAAATCTCTTCCTCATCCCCACAAAACAAACCCCTAATGTCCCACTTTTCTATTTAGTGCTTTTGACTGTTATATCTCGGGACTCTATTAGATTTGTCATAGCTTATAGTGTCTTCCCATATATTATCCCATTGTAAATATGTAGGAATCCAAAAAGTAGCATGAGTTTTAATTTTCTTTTAACCCTTTCTAAATTCATTTTGAACGCATATTAACTCTTCAGTTACAATAGCTAAGATTTGGGAGCAACTGGATGGAATTTCTAAGTTGGATTCCGTTTTTATACAAGTCCTGCCTTTGTAATTTGCTTGTACTATTTCACTATTGTATGCACAACTGCATGCGTTAATCTCTCAATTCAATCTTTTTGAAATATCATGGATTTGCATGTCAGAAAATCTGCTACTTTGGGCCGGGTGTGGTGGCTCATGCCTGTAATCTCGGCACTTTTCGAGGCTGAGGCCAGCAGATAACTTGAGATCAGGAGGTTAGGAGTTTGAGACCAGCATGGACAACATGGTGAAACCCCATCTCTACTAAAAATACCAAAATTAGCTGGGTGTGGTGGTTCATGCTTATAATCCCAACTGCGTGGGGGGCTGAGGGAGGAGAACTGCTTGAACTTGGACCGGAGGTGGAGGTTGCAGTGGGTTGATATTGCTCCACTCCCACCTGGGCAACACAGAAAGACTCTCTCCAAAAAAAAAAAGAAAGAAAATCTGCTACCTTGAAAGCCCAGGTACTGAGACATTATGCTTTAAAATATTAATTCACATATATTTTTGATGACCTTATTTAACTTAAAATTAAAAATAAAATACTTGCTTCTTGTTTCTCAAAGGAAGAATGATAGTAAAAGTTATTACTTTTGGGGCTTGCACTATATACTATCTTCCACATTAGTTTCTGTACACATGTTTTGTAACTTAATTTTTATCACAGCCAAGTAAGGTAGGTGGTGTTATCCCAATTTGACAAATGGGGAATGTGGGGCGTAGCGACATTAAGTGATTTTTCTAACTTTACCTTCTTAGCATATGTCTAATTTTAGTTTCATATATACTTTGTGTGTGTCCCCTATGTTGTGTTTTGGTGTCTGGAGCAATGAAGACCTCTGTGCTCTTAGGCGGGTCTTTCTTCTTTTCTTTATTGTTTTGGAATTCTGGACTCAACCTAGCAATAACTGCAATGTGTTCTGATGATTGGTTGTTAGTCAGAATGAAAATAAACCTTTTTGATAACAACTTGGAAGTTAGAATTGGCGACATACACCTGGGAGATAACTGTCTTGTAACAAAACTGTTGTCATTTAACTACGAGTTTTCTTATCCTGTCACTTCTTGTGGGATCAAGAAAATGATGTTCCAAGGAAATGTTGCCATATTATCAGAGATCAGTTACAGACCAATGTTGCATACTACCTATAAATTTCCAGTTGTTTGCTTTGTGAAGAGGCTTAAATTCCCATCTGTGATACAATTTGAAATAAATGGGTTTGATGCCAACAACTTGAAAAATACTCCTCAAAAAACAAAAGGACAAGAGCCACTAGCTCCTGCACAAAGTAAAATATGGGAACCTAATATTAACAGTGTTAATAAGGAGCAAATATCCATGAGTCACTGCATCAATAATGCCTGTGTTATAATACCCTTTCCTCCCTAAAGCATGGGAGCAAATGGTACATACATGTCTGAGAAGCAGTTTCATCAACACTGTTGTATCTTTCCAAAGATGAGTTCCAATATCTGTTATTAGTTTCACTACCTTTTGGAGTTTTGGATAACATATCTATACCATGATATTTATACTTTTTAATGTGTTAATTTTAAGTGAAATGGCCATTCTAACTCTGTGAAATCAAGTTCATGCCTAATAAAGCTTGCCCAAACAAACAATATGTTTTTTTTTCTTTTTTTGACACAGTGTCTGACACTGTTGCCCAGACTGTAGTACAGTGGCATGATGATAACTCACTGTAACCTCAAACTCCTGGGCTCAGGTTATCCTTCTGCCTCAGCCACCTGGGTAACTAGGCACCACCATACACAGCTAATTTTTGTATTTTTAGTAGAGATGGGGTTTCACTATGTTGTCCAGGCTGATCTCAAACTTCTAACCTCCCAGGTTACAGGTGCATGCCATTGCACCCAGCTAACTTTGAACATTTTTTGTAGAGATAGAATCTTACTGTGTTACCCAGGCTGGTTTTTGAACTCCTGGCCTCAAGGGATTCTCCCAAAATGCTGGGATTACAGGCATGAGCTTCTCTACCTGGCCTATTTTGTGTTTTCTTATTCCATAACCTGAGGTCTTCCCAGAATGAAGACGATTTTATAAATCAAATCAGGTTTAGTCATATTCCAAAAATCAAGTTTAATTAAAAATATAAGAAGCTAGATCTTACTTTGGCAAGCAGTGAATCAATTAGAAAAGCGCGATAATATGGTTGTCTTGAAACATTATTGTATAATGAAAATGGAATTTCAAAGTGACAGAACTTTTCTTCTTCTGTTGTACATCCTCAGACTTGGTGGCTTTTGAAAGTTTAGATACATCTAGGTATTGATTCTTCCAGATCTTAAGCTTAGATTTGGGGGCTTCTCTGGCACCATTATCTTGGGGTAATGGTTGTCTGCATATTGTTGATCTCTCCTGATCTGAATCTGTTCTGAGCCCCAGTTTCATATACCCTATCATCTGACATTTTCATTTCGATGTTCCACAGGCACCTTAACATGGCTAATACTGAATTCATCCTCCCAATTCTCACCTCAGAATGCACAGAACCCAAAAAACAGCATCCTGCTCCCAGTCTTTTGGAATGATAATATCGTCTACCCAGTTGCTCAACTTAGGACGCTTGGAACCTTCTGTTGATTTTCTTTCTTTATCCTCCAGATTTATTCAGATGATTTTGATAACAATAGGAAACATTTATAGAGCTATTCTAGGTACTGTGATACATACTTTGGAAACATAATTTCACCTATATCCCCTAACTTTAGTAGCTCTCCATAACAGCTTTTCTTTATCTCACTGTCATTTCCCTAGCTCAGACCTTTGTGATTTCTCAGCTGGGTAAGCTCATAACCTCCTGATTTTATCTCCAGCACTCTAGTTCATTTATCACACCACAGCCAGTCAGATCACTCTGCTGCATGAAATCCTTCGGTGCCTCTCTGCTGCCTATGTTAGTGATTTTCCAAGTTTAAAAAAAGACTTAATGTGGACACTGAAACAACTTAAAAAGATGCAAGTAGAGCTGCTGTGGTTGAAATGAGTGGGTCTGGATCAGTTTAGATATAATTGGCTTATAGGAAAAAGTCCAAATTTTCTGCATGTCATGCAGTACCCTCTATAATGTGGCCTTGCTTATACCTCCAGCCTCATCTGTTGCTACTTCAGTCTTTAGGTGTAGATACCAGAAGAGCTGAAATTGGCAGTAGCTGAATATACTGTAGTCTTTACTTCATCTTCCCACTTTCTGTCTGGAATTTGCATAAGGTATCCCCTCAGCCTAGATTGCTTGTCTCTACCCCTCGGCCTGGCTAACTTCTATTTGTCTTTCCATGTTTAGCTTACCACCTCCTCAGGGAAGTCCTGCTTCTACCCATAGAGGAGAAAGTCTGAAGGAAAGGAACATTATGGAATATTTTCCTGCTCTGGGCCAGGATTAAATATTTTCTCATTTAATATTCATTTTAGCATTTAAGACTCTTCATCAGGTTCAGTCTACTTCCTTAGCTCTGTCATATCTGTTTTACATGTAAAGTCATACCATATATCTGTGTTCTGTGGACATGCCTTTCATTGCTCTTCTAAAAATAATTTTTAAAAATTTGTCATTTAAACATGTAAAATTTACCATCATAACCATTTTTAAGCATAGAGTTTAGTAGCATTAAGTATGTTCACATTGTTGTACAACAGATCTCCATAGCTCTTTTGATACTGCAGAACTGAAACGCAAATTCCCTATTCTGTACTGTTCTTCCAGCCACTAGCAACCACCACTCCACTTTCTGTTTATGACTGACTACTATGGATGCCTCACCATATAAGTGTACTTATACAGTACTGTAGTTGTCTTTTTTTGTGACTCGCCTATTTCACTTAGCACAATGTCCTCAAGGCTTATCCATTTTGTTGCATACTGCAGGATTTCCTTTCTTTCTAGGCCTAGATAATATCCCACTGTATGTGTAGGCCACATTTTGTTTATTCATCTATTGATAGATATTTGAGCTGCTTCCACTTCTTGGCTGTTGTGACTAATGCTACTATGAACATGGCTGTGCAAATATTTTTTTAAGATCCTGATTTCTATTTTTTGGATAAATAAAAGTGGGATTGCTGGACCATATAGTAATTCCACTCTCAATTTTTTAGGAAGTGCTGTACTTACTGTTTTGCACAGTGGCTATACTGTTTTTTACATTCCCATCAACTTCCTGTACTTTGGCTTTATTGGGAAGATTTATGTGGGCTTTTAAGCCAGAATGCCTGTGTTCAGATCTTGGTTTCTCCACTTACTGGGTGTGTAACCTTTGGCAAGTTATTTAATCTTTCTATACTTTAGGTTTTTTATAAAAATGTCATAACGCCTGTAATCCCAGCACTTTGGGAGGCTACGGTGGGTGGATCACAAGGTCAAGAGATCAAGACCATCCTGACCGACATGGTGAAACCCTATCTCTACTAAAAATACAAAAATAAGCTGGGCGTGGCAGCGTGCACCTGTAGTCCCAGCTACTTGGGAGGCTGAGGCAGGAGAATTGCTTGAACCTGGGAGGCAGTGGTTGCAGTGAGTGGAGATCGCACCACTGCACACCAGCCTGGCGCCTGGCAACAGAACAAGACTGTTTAAAAAAAAAAAAGACATAATATTGGTACCAATGTTAGCAAAAGAAAAAAGGGCATAATAATATTTAATATCTAAGATTGTCAATGAGATTAAATTAACTAATCTATGTAATGGATTTATAATGTGCTTCATAGTAAGCCCTCAGTAATATTAGCATCTATTGCTAACACTACAGGTGAATAGCCATTATCCGAATGCTTGGGACCAGAAGTGTTTCAGATTTCAGAGATACATATATCTGAAATATAGTAATATTTGCAATACATATGTATTTTGTAATATTTGCTACATATGTGCGTGTATATATATAGTAATATTTGCAGTATATTTACTAGCTGAGTGTCTCTAATCTGAAAATCTGAAATGCTCCCAGGAGCATTTACTTTGAGCATCATGTTGGCGCTCAAAAAGTTTCAGATTTTGAAGCATTTCAGATTTCAGATTTTTTGATTTGAGATGCTTAACAGGTTCTACTCCTGCTGCTACTACTAGTTGATAAGAATAGTGGGAAGCCAGATTAAATGAGTGACTAATTATGCCTGTAAGATTTGTGGAAAGCTTCACAGAGGTGACATTTCAGCTGAGTCTTGAAAGATGATGTGGGGTTTAATGAGGAATTGGAGCATTTCAGAAAGAGGAAACACACTGAAAGAGCATGAGATGCTAGATGAATGGTGAGAATTTTAGTAGGACCGGAAGGTAAGCTAACTGAATTGAATTCATGAGAGTTGAAATTAGAAGAATTAAACCGGAATCATATTGTGAGGATCTCGTATGCTGAGGTTGGAAGTACTGACGTTGTCTTTAATAATTATCTTTAATCTAATTCTGTCTTTCCTCCAAACCCATATTTAATGCTTCAGCATATCCTGTCAACTCTACTTCCAAAAACAACACAAATCTGTTTTCTCCAAACCCATATTTAATGCTTCAGCATATCCTATCAACTCTACTTCCAAAAACAACGCAAATCTGTTTTCTCTGTCTCCACTCTTCCCCTGAGTTCATTCCACCATCATTGCCATTGGACTACTCTGATAACCTCCTGTAAGATATTTCTGTTTCCATTACTGCCCCTGTTTTTGGCCTTTCCCCAGTTCTCTCCCTCTCCCCTTTCCTCCCTCCCCTCCCCTTTCTCCCCTCTCCTCCCCTCCATTCCCCTCCCCTTTCTCCCCTCTCCTTACCTCCGTTTTCCTCCCCTTTCTCCCCTTTCCTCCCCTCGTTCCCCTCCCCTTTCTCCCCTTTCCTCCCCTGGTTCCCCTCCCCTTTCTCCCCTTTCCTCCCCTGGTTCCCCTCCCCTTTCTCCCTCCCCTCTCCTCCCCTCCATTCCCCTCCCCTTTCTCCCCCTCTTCCCTCCGTTCCCCTCCTCTTTCTCCCCTCTCCTCCCCTCCGTTCTCCTCCCCTTTCTCCCCTCCCCTCTCCTCCCCTCTCCTCCCCTCTCCTCTTTTTGACAGAGTCTCACTCTGTCAGCCAGTATAGAGTGCAGTGGTGCGATCTTGGCTTACTGCAACCTCTGCCTCCAGGGTTCAAGTGATTCTCCTGCCTCAGCCTCCCAAGTAGCTGGGACTATAGGCACGTGCCACCATGCCCAGCTAATTTTAGTATTTTTTAATAGAGACGGGGTTTCACCATTTTGGCTAGGCCGGTCTCGAACTCCTGGCCTTGTGACCCACCCTCCTTGGCCTCCCAAAGTACTGGGATTACAGGCATGAGCATTGGGTCCAGCCACCTTTCCCTCATTTCTAACTGCATCACTTTAGATTCTTTTTCTTGCTTGCTATACTGTGCTATTATTGTAATTATGCATTCATTTTTTTTTTAGGCTCGTCAAGTGAAGCAGTGGGAGATGAAAAGGACAAGGAACAAACAAATCTGTAACTGATTATGATCAATTAGTTGTAAAATACCACTGCACTTGGACCAGCCTCTGTACTTTTTTTCATTGTTAATATTATTTGTGCCTCTTTTCTGTTTCTTTTTTTTTTTTTCAGATTTTATTTTTATTTATTTATTTATTTTTTATTGTACTTCTGGGGGTACATGTGCAGATTATGCAGGATTGTGGCATAGGTACATACGTGGCAAGGTGGTTTGCTGCCTTCATTCCCCCCCATCACCTATATGTGGTATTTCTCCCCTCATTATTCCTCCCCACCCCCTGCTGTTCCTCCCCAGCCCCCGCACTGACCACAGTGTTTGTTGCTCCCCTCCCTGTGTCCACGTGTTTTAATTGTTCAACACCCGCCTATGAGTGATAACATGTGGTGTTTGGTTTTCTGTTCTTGTGTCAGTTTGCTGAGAATGGTGGTTTCCAGATTCATCCATGTCGCTATGAAGGACACGAACTCATCATTTTTTATGACTGCGTAGTATTCCATGGTGTATATGTGCCACATTTTCTTCATCCAGTCTATCGATGATGGACATTCTGTTTCTTTTTCCTTGATCTTTGTTGCCAGATATTTGTTTGTTTTATTAGTCTTTTCAAAGAACCAGCTTTTGCTTTGTTGACTCCTTCAGTTTTATCTTTGATATGTACTTTTATCTTTATTTCCTTCTTTGGCTTGGAATCCCTCTTGTGCTTTTTCTAACTTTTCGAATTAAATTCTTAGCTCTTTATTTTTAAGCCTTCTTTTGTACTTAATATAATCATTCATGACTATATGGTTTCCTGTAAGGACCACATTAGCTTTCTCCCATGTGTTCCATGTATTTTCTAATAGCCGTTATGATTTCTCCTTTGCTCTATTAGTTATTTAGAGGTTATATTTTTAAATTTCTAAATATATTTTTAAATTTCAACATCTTTATTGACTTTTAAATTCCAACACTCATGACAGAACATGCAAGTGATACAAAATACAGTAAAAAAGTTCTAGTGTGCCTCCTCTTTCTGCCTGTACCACCCTCTGTGTCCCCTGTCCCACCTCCCAGAAGCAGCTACTGTTAGCTTTTATGTGTTCTCCAGAGAAGTAAGTTGCAGAAAAATATGTAAGTATTTATAATGTGTATGTTATATTTAGTATAGAAAAAATTATAAGATACCGAGCAGTTAACACCAAGAATCCCTCATGTTGCCTTTTCATAACCATATCTACCTCCCTCCTCTGTCACTCCCCTGGCTTCTAGTCCTAACCCCAGTGACCACTAGTCTGTTTTTCATCTGTATTATTTTGTCATTTCATGTATGGAACCGTACAGTATGTAATCTTTTGGCATTGGCTTTTTTCACTCAGTCCGATTTGCCGGAGATTGATCCAGGGTGTTGCATGTATCAGTAGTTCGTTTATTTTTATGGCCGAGTGGTATTTTGTCTTATGGATTACAGTTTGTATAAGCATTCCTCTGTTGAAGGGCATGTGGGCTGATTCTACTTTTTGGATATTACAGATAAAATTGCTATGTGAACATTTATATAGTTTTTTTTTTTTTGGTGTGTGTGAACATAAGTTTTTATTTCTCTAGAATAAATTTCCAGGAGTACAATTGTTGGGTTATATGGTAATTCTATATTTAGCTTTTTAAGAAATTGCCAAACTATTTCCAGTGTTTTTATACTATTTCCCATTAACAATATGTGAGCGATCCAGTTCTTCTGCATCTTTGCCAGAATTTGGTGTTGTCATGTTTTTTGTATTTTTGGTAATTCTGATAGGTGTGTAGTGATATCTCATTATTTGAATTCACATTTTCTTAATGGCATTTTTTATGTGCTGATTTGCCATCTGTATATCTTTTCTGATAAAATGTCTTCATGTATTTTGATTATTTTCTGATTGAATTGTTTGTTTTATTGTTGGGTTTTGAGTTCCTTATGTCTTCTAACCAAATAAATTTTTTACTTTAGTTTTTCTTGATAATTGGTTTCTTTTCTTTTTTTTTTTTTTTTTAAATTTTTTATTGGATTATAGGTTTTGGGGTACATGAGCAGAGCATGCAAGACAGTTGCGTAGGTACACACATGGCAGTGTGCTTTGCTTTTCTTCTCCCCTTCACCCACATTTGGCATTTCTCCCCAGGCTATCCCTCCCCACCTCCCCCTCCCACTGGCCTTCCCCTTTTCCCCCAATAGACCCCAGTGTTTAGTACTCCCCTCCCTGTGTCCATGTGTTCTCATTTTTCATCACCCACCTATGAGTGAGAATATGCGGTGTTTCATTTTCTGTTCTTGTGTCAGTTTGCTGAGGATGATGTTTTCCAGATTCATCCATGTCCCTACAAACGACACGAACTCATCATTTCTGATTGCTGCATAATATTCCATGGTGTATATGTGCCACATTTTTCCAATCCAGTCTATTATCAATGGGCATTTGGGTTGATTCCAGGTCTTTGCTATTGTAAACAGTGCTGCAATGAACATTCGTGTACATGTGTCCTTATAGTAGAACGATTAATAGTCTTTTGGATATATACCCAGTAATGGGATTGCTGGGTGAAATGGAATTTCTATTTCTAAGGCCTTGAGGAATCGCCACACTGTCTTCCACAATGGTTGAACTAATTTACACTCCCACCAACAGTGTAAAAGTGTTCCTTTTTCTCCACATCCTCTCCAGCATCTGTTGTCTCCAGATTTTTTAATTATCGCCATTCTAACTGCCGTGAGATGGTATCTCAATGTGGTTTTGATTTGCATCTCTCTGATGACCAGTGACGATGAGCATTTTTTCATATGATTGTTGGCCTCATATATGTCTTCTTTCGTAAAGTATCTGTTCATATCCTTTGCCCACTTTTGAATGGGCTTGTTTGTTTTTTTCCTGTAAATCTGCTTGAGTTGTTTGTAAATTCTGGATATCAGCCCTTTGTCAGATGGGTAGACTGCGAAAATTTTTTCCCATTCTGTTGGTTGCCGATCCACTCTAGTGACTGTTTCTTTTGCCGTGCAGAAGCTGTGGAGTTTCATTAGGTCCCATTTGTCTATTTTGGCTTTTGTTGCCAATGCTCTTGGTGTTTTGTTCATGAAGTCCTTGCCTACTCCTATGTCCTGGATAGTTTTGCCTAGATTTCCCTCTAGGATTTTTATGGTGCCAGGTCTTATGTTTAAGTCTTTAATCCATCTGGAGTTAATTTTAGTGTAAGGTGTCAGGAAGGGGTCCAGTTTCTGCTTTCTGCACATGGCTAGCCAGTTTTCCCAACACCATTTGTTAAACATGGAATCCTTGCCCCATTGCTTGTTTTTGTCAGGTTTATCAAAGATTGTATAGTTGTATGTATGTTGTGTTGCCTCCGGTGCCTCTGTTTTGTTCCATTGGTCTATATCTCTGTTTTGGTACCAGTACCATGCTGTTTTGATTACTGTAGCCTTGTAGTATAGTTTGAAATCTGGTAGTGTGATGCCCCCCGCTGTGTTCTTTTTGCTTAGAATTGACTTGGCTATGCGGGCTCTCTTTTGGTTCCATATGAAGTTCATGGTGGTTTTTTCCAGTTCTGTGAAGAAAGTCAATGGTAGCTTGATGGGGATAGCGTTGATTCTGTAAATTACTTTGGGCAGTATAGCCATTTTCACGATATTAATTCTTCCTAACCATGAACATGGAATGTTTCTCCATCTGTTTGTGTCCTCTCTGATTTCGTTGAGCAGTGGTTTGTGGTTCTCCTTGAAGAGGTCCCTTACGTTCCTTGTGAGTTGTATTCCAAGGTATTTTATTCTTTTTGTAGCAATTGCGAATGGCAGTTCGCTCTTGATTTGGCTTTCTTTAAGTCTGTTATTGGTGTAGACGAATGCTTGTGATTTTTGCACATTGATTTTATATCCTGAGACTTTGCTGAAGTTGTTTATCAGTTTCAGGAGTTTTTGGGCTGAGGCGATGGGGTCTTCTAGGTATACTATCATGTCGTCTGCAAATAGAGACAATTTGGCTTCCACCTTTCCTATTTGAATACCCTTTATTTCTTTTTCTTGCCTGATTGCTCTGGCTAGAACTTCCAGTACTATATTGAATAGGAGTGGTGAGAGAGGGCATCCTTGTCTAGTACCAGATTTCAAAGGGAATGCTTCCAGTTTTTGCCCATTCAGTATGATATTGGCTGTTGGTTTGTCATAAATAGCTTTTATTACTTTGAGATACGTTCCATCGATACCGAGTTTATTGAGGGTTTTTAGCATAAAGGGCTGTTGAATTTTGTCAAATGCCTTCTCTGCGTCAATTGAGATAATCATGTGGTTTTTGTTTTTGGTTCTGTTTATGTGGTGAATTACGTTGATAGACTTGCGTATGTTGAACCAGCCTTGCATCCCTGGGATGAATCCTACTTGATCATGATGAATAAGTTTTTTGATTTGCTGTTGCAATCGGCTTGCCAATATTTTATTGAAGATTTTTGCATCTATGTTCATCATGGATATTGGCCTGAAGTTTTCTTTTCTTGTTGGGTCTCTGCCGGGTTTTGGTATCAGGATGATGTTGGTCTCATAAAATGATTTGGGAAGGATTCCCTCTTTTGGATTGTTTGAAATAGTTTTAGAAGGAATGGTACCAGCTCCTCCTTGTGTGTCTGGTAGAATTCGGCTGTGAACCCATCTGGACCTGGGCTTTTTTTGTGAGGTAGGCTCTTAATTGCTGCCTCAACTTCAGACCTTGTTATTGGTCTATTCATAGTTTCAGCTTCCTCCTGGTTTAGGCTTGGGAGGACACAGGAGTCCAGGAATTTATCCATTTCTTCCAGGTTTACTAGTTTATGTGCATAGAGTTGTTTGTAATATTCTCTGATGATGGTTTGAATTTCTGTGGAATCTGTGGTGATTTCCCCTTTATCATTTTTTATTGCATCTATTTGGTTGTTCTCTCTTTTATTTTTAATCAATC